AAAAAAAATGCATATTACACTCTAATCATACAGCCATATCGTTTCAGATTACATTAGTAATGAAAGTCCAAATTTGTTCCATCATCATCTTCATCATTATCATCACATCATACTGATTATTGCTCAGACTATTATTGATACCATGGTTATGTAAAATGAAACTATCTCCATCAAAAGTCAAATTTTAAATGAGCTCCTTGCCTCACGTTCTTGAAGTCGATAAGCATTATTTCTTTATTTCCTTAGCCCTAGTTCACTAGTTCCAAGTTCACAGCTGTGCTGTTTAGGCGCCATTCAACCGGTAAGTGGTCCTCAATACTCTTGCTGCGGGAAGACTTTCTACATTACTGGAACACAGCTCTGTTGTTTAGGCGTCGTAAAATCCAAAATACACTCTCAAAATGCTTGCTGTGGAAAGACGCCCTACGACACTGGAACACAGCTCTGTTGTTTAGGCGTCGTAAAATCCAAAATACACTCTCAAAATGCTTGCTGTGGAAAGACGCCCTACGACACTGAAACACAGCTCTGTTGTTCAGGAACCATACAACCAAAATTCTATGGCAGTACTCAAGCCAGATGCTGTGGGTAAGAACATATTTAAAGCATATTTTTCTACGTAGAAGCCAATTTACTCACCTGACGGCACGTACGTTCTTGTCTTTGTTACGTCACTTTGCTAATGGCTGAGATCAACTTATTAAGTGAATAAGTCTTTCGGTATTTCTTTGTCTTCCTTTAACTGTGACAACATAAATTCCCAGTTTCTTTTTCTGTTAAAACATATCATCGCCTTAATTTGCTCATTATTTCAATGTTATAAAGGAAATAGATGTATTACGTATAAATCGCCTTCATTTTAAGGGTCAAAGCCTGCTAGATAACTAAAGCAGTTTCCAGGATAAATTAAATGCGATTATTTCGACAGATTTTCTCAAGTTTTGTTGCATTTGTAAAACAGTTTTCTAGTAACATGTATAACTTGTGTTCATTTTGTTCTTGTTAGACTTGTACGCATACAGCATAATTAGATCTGAATTAAAACTTTCAAATTATTTTGACATTTCTTTTTCGTTTCCTGCAATAAATACTCCACAAAATAGGACAATGTTTGTCCAACTCAGATCGAAAGCAGACCTTTTAAGCAAAAAAGAAAACATATTCTTAAAATCTTTTTCTCATTGGCTACTTATTTACTTCTGTCCTTTTGCATTAATCATGATTGTACAGAATGATATGTTTTTTTCGTCTTGTCATGTGTTAGTGGGAAACAAAGACACAATCTGAGTAAGATGGTCTATCTCAATCAGGAATTTGTGTTATTTTTGGATCTTCAGATCGGCTCGTTACAACCCCTCCTCCCAAGGATGCTGTGCTGGGAAACAGCCATATTACACAACTACACATCTCTGTTGCGGAGGAAAAGTCCAACCAAAATTCTATGGCAGTACTCAAGCCAGATGCTGTGGGTAAGAACC